TCATCGATGTTTCTAACTCTATCTCTCTCCCTTCCTCTCTGTAAAAAATCAATAAAATATATTTAAAAAATAAATAAAAATCCAGTTTCTTTTATAGCACATGGTTACTCAGGTTATTGATTCCTTTTTGAGTGAGCTTTAGTAGTTTGTGACTTTCAAGGAATTTTTTTAATGTGTTTATTTGATCCATATTTTTTCTTTGACCCGTAGGCTCTTTAGAAGTGTGTGAGTTGTTGCCATATAGTTGGGGAGATTTTCCGGGTATCTTTCTGCTGTTGATTTTTTTAAGAATATATTTTTTATTGATTTTAGAAAGAGGAAGGGAGAAGGAATAGAGAGAGAGAAACACCAGTGAGAGGGAAACATTACCTCCTGTATGCCCCCTACTGGGGATCAAGCCTGCAACCCAGGCATGTGTCTGTGTCCTGACCAGGAATCAAACCATAAGTTCCTGGTTCATGGGCCAGTGCTTAACCACAGAGCCACACTAGCCTGGCTGTTGTTGATTTTTAATTTTTTAATTAAATTGTGGTCAAACAACATACTTTGTATGATTTCAGTCATAAATTTGAGATTTGTTTTATGGCCATAACATTCTCTATTATGATCAATGTTATATATGTATGCATATGAAAATAGTTGTGTATTCCACTGTTTTTGGGTGGAGAGTTCTATAAGTGTTGGTTCAGACCAGTTGGTTGATAGTGTTGTTCAGGTTGTTTGGAGGAGAGTGAAATCTCTGACTGTAATTGTGAATTTGTCTATTAGCAGCTATAGCAATTTTTCATCCATATTTTAAAGCTCTGCAATAGATTCATAAACATTTAGGATTATTATGTTCTTTATCATTATTAAATAACCTTTATTTCTGGTAATATTAAGTGCTTTGGAGTCTACTTTGTGTGGCATTAATATAGCCACTCCAGCTTTCTTTTGATCAGTGTTAGCATGTTTTCCATTCTTCTATTTTCACCAATTTGTGTCCTTATATAAAGAGGTTTTTTTAGGCAATACATAGTGGGGTCTTGTTTTTTTTACCTATGTGCCAAATTTTGTCTTTTCAGGTGTTTAGATCATCCCATATGTTAACTGATTAGGCAAAATTGATTATTTGTTTTATTTTTTGTACCATCTATTGTTAATTTCTTTTTCTCTTTCTGCCTTCTTTTCAATTGACTTTTTATTCCATTTTGTTGTCTTCGTTGACTTACTTGCTATAACTCTTGTTAGTTTAGTGATATTTTTCTCTTTTTTTAAAATATATTTTATTGATTTTTCACAGAGAGGAAGGGAGAGAGATAGAGAGTTAGAAACATCGATGAGAGAGAAACATCGATCAGCTGCCTCCTGCACATCTCCTACTGGGGATATGCCCGCAACCAAGGTACATGCCCTTGACCGGAATCGAACCTGGGACCTTTCAGTCCGCAGGCCGACGCTCTATCCACTGAGCCAAACCGGTTTCGGCAGTGATATTTTTCTTTAACTTATGATAGTTTACCTTCACGTGACAGACCACTTTACCTGTGGTATATAAAAGCATTAAAACAGTATGCTTCCCTTCTTCTTTCCAGCTATTGTGCTATTGTTACAGTTTTACTGCTACGTGTTATAAACCCTACAATGTAGTATACATGTTTTTGCTTTAAATAATTCTAGGTTGACAGCTATTTCTTTTTTTTTTCTTTTTCTTTTTTTAATATATGTTTATTGATTTCAGAGAGGAAGGGAGAGGGAGAGAGAGACAGAAACATCAATGATGAGAGAGAATCATGGATCGGCCGCCTCCTGCACGCTCCACACTGGGAATTGAGCCTGCAACCCGGGCATGTGCCCTTGACTGGAATCGAACCCAGGACCCTTCAGTCCGCAGGCCGATGCTCTGTCCACTGAGCCAAACCGGCCGGGGTGACAGCTGTTTCTTTTTTTCAGAATTTGAAAATGTTTCTCTACTGTCTTCCAGCTTGTATTGTTTATAATGAGAAATCTGTTGTCTTTGTCTGTTTTTCTGTGTGATGTCTTTCTTCCTCTGGCTGCTTTTAAAATTTTCTCTATTGCTGGTTTTAAGCACTTTGATTATGATGTGCCTTGGAGTAATTTTCTTTATATGTCTTGTGTTTGGGGTTCATTGAGCTTGTGGATCTACAGGTTTATAGTTTCCATCAAATTGGGAAGTTGTTCTGCCATTGTTTCTTCAAATATTTTGTCTGATCCCCCCTCCAAGTACAAGTATGTTAAGGGTGCTTGAAGTTGTCCCACAGCTCACAATTCCAAGAAAACTTTATTTTTATTTATTTATTTAAATATATTTTTATTGATTTTTTACAGAGAGGAAGGGAGAGAGATAGAGAGTTAGAAACATCGATGAGAGAGAAACATCGATCAGCTGCCTCCTGCACATCTCCTACTGGGGATATGCCCGCAACCAAGGTACATGCCCTTGACCGGAATCGAACCTGGGACCTTTCAGTCCGCAGGCCGACGCTCTATCCACTGAGCCAAACCGGTTTCGACAAGAAAACTTTATTTTTAAAAAAACGGTGGGAAGGCCCTAACTGGTTTGGCTCAGTGGATAGAGCGTCGGCCTGCGATCTGAAAGGTCCCAGGTTCGATTCCGGTCGAGGGCATGTACCTTGGTTGCGGGCACATCCCCAGTGGGGGGTGTGCAGAAGGCAGCTGATCGATGTTTCTCTCTCATCGATGTTTCTAACTCTCTATCCCTCTCCCTTCCTCTCTGTAAAAAATCAATAAAATATATTTAAAAAAAACAAACAAACGGTGGGAAGGACAGGAGTTGGCCCATGAGCTGTAAATTTGCCGACCCCTGCCTCAGTTCAAGACCTTACTTGGCTGAGTTATTTAATATTTTTGTCTGGCCTTCTATTTTAATTGCTTCCAGAAATCATTGCTAGTGATATCTGCTTAAAACACGGATCTTACCATATTACTTGTTGGTCCCCTACAACATACCAAATAAAGGTCAGCATTATCTTACCCTGAAAGCCACCACAGTCTGATTCTTCTTACATTTCCAATCTTCAGTGATTCTGTATTTGTCAGCTCACACAGTCTAATTGGCATGTTCTCCTGCCTTGTAATATTTCCTTAAGCCCTACTTTTTCTGGATCGCTTGTCCCTTCCTATTATGTTATATGTACCTCTGAAACCATTGACCTGCCTTAGGAACCCTGTTTACATCCCACCTTCTTTAAGAAGCATTCCTGAGCCCCCCAGGTGGAGGCAGTTTCTCCTTCATGTTGTTTCAGCATGTTGTTCGAGTGCTTCTGTGGTGGTGACCTCCATTTATGCTTTGTCAGAAAACCGTGTGTGTGTGTTTATCCATATATGTGTATCTAGAGTATGTGTGTCTTCTCTATTGACCCAGAATCCCTCAGGAGGTGAGAGGTGTACCCTCTTGTTTCTGTCCCCTCTGCAGTGCACTGCATAGCCTGATGCTGAACAGAAATGCCGCAGTGTATGTTTGAATGGTCGCACATAAAGGTCAACATCTTGGGGGGATATGATGCTCTGGGTATTTGTGGCGTTTTGGGCACAGCTCTTGGCTCTTCCTTGGGGCGTACATGCAAGCCTCCAAGGAGTGGGGCTGTAGGCAGGCTGCCTGGCCCATGCACATGGGGACCGGGTGGTGGCAGGGACAGGCGGTTGCAGGCCTGGCCACTCCAGGTCTCCGCTGCTACTGCCACTTCCTCAATGGCCTCTTGCCCTTTGGTTTCACAGAGTTGCGGTGCAACCCTGGGCAGTTTGCCTGTCGCAGTGGCACCATCCAGTGCATCCCTCTCCCCTGGCAGTGTGACGGCTTGGTGACTTGTGAGGATGAGAGCGACGAAGCCAACTGTCCAGGTGAGTGTCGGGCAGGCAGATGCACGTGGCCCATGCTTCCCATCAGGGGAGATGCTGTCAACTGGTATCCAATGCTATATCCATGTGCTGGAAGGTTATTTTAAGCTCCTCCTGTCCTCTTTCTTTCTCTCTCTCTCTCTTTTTTTTTTTTAATAAATGCCTAACACAGGTAGATCTCAGAAGTTTTAAGATGGCAGGGTGAGCGTTGTGAGGCAAGAGAGATGCCCATGATATCACATTTTGGGAGGTGCTCCTGGCCCTTAGAGCAGCACCTGAAGTATGGTAGCTTCTTCCCTTTCCTCTTGCCTAGTTTTGGAAGTAGGTGTCTGTGAAACTTGGCTAGAATCCTGACAAGGGTCACTTATACTGGCCTTGGCTCTGCCTGTCTGCCCTGCTCACTCAGTCACTAGTAATCTTTCTCCTGATGATGTGTGTGCTCACAAAGACAGAATGCCAGAGAGTCTAAATTGTTGTCTCTCTACCTGGTTTCTGTTCCAGTACCCTCAAAGAATATAACACCCTATGAGTAATGGTGGTCACCACACCCCGGGTTCTCTACTTGGTTAGGATGGACAGTGTAGTGTCTTGTGTGTACTCCTGCATGAGTATGTGAGAGAGACACACACACACACACACATACACATGGAATATGTTTAAGACCCGGGTGGTCTCATAAAAGCCCTAAGAGGAAGGAATCTCAGCTCTAAACTCTTCGGCCTAACAATTAAATTTCTTCACAATCTGGCTTATTTTTTGCCAATCCAATTTATCATTATTTTCCCTTCTGTGACTCAGCTAGGCTATTTCCTGTGCCCACCCCATTAAGAATGTTCTAGCCTGGCCAGCGTGGCTCAGTGGTTGACTGTCAACCTATGAATCAGAAGGTCATGGTTCAATTCCCAGTCAGGTCATATGCCCAGGGTGTGGGCTCGATCCTCAGTGTAGGGTGTGCAGGAGGCAGCCGACCAATGATTCTCATCATAGATGTTTCTATCTCTCCCTCTCCCTTCTTCTCTGAAATAAATTTTTAAAAAATATTTTTTATAAAAAGAAAAAAAGAATTTCCTAGCCACATGCTTTGTTTATGCCTTTCTTTTTTCCTGGGATCCTCTTGGTTTGTTTCTGTGTGGACAGATCCTGCCTATCCTTCAAGGCTTGGCTAGATGATTCCACAACAAGAAGGCATCTGTGGGCTCCATGGCTATAGGTTGGCTTCTGCTAATAACCTGCTCTATCCCTCTCTGGTAGCACATAGAACCACTGGTAATTCTTCATCACTTGTGCCCATGCTTGATCTCTCCTTCCAGACTGAGTTCCCTGAGGGCAGGAGACCTGTCTTCTTCCTCGGTGGGATGAGGTCCTTTTCAGCATTCAGTAAATGAAAGGAGTCTTGTAATTCCTATAGGCCAGGTGCTGGAAAAAACTCCAACTAGGGGATCAGGTGGGACATCAATTAGCATTTGACATTTGAGCTTGGGACAGTTCATTGAGGGATGGTTCCAAAACAAGAAATAGAGGTGGTCTGTTTGGAATGTATTTGTCTATAAAAATGACCCCTGTAGCCCTAACCGGTTTGGCTCAGTGGATAGAGCATCGGCCTGCGGACTCAAGGGTCCCAGGTTCGATTCTGGTCAAGGGCATGTACGTTGGTTGCAGCCACATCCCCAGTGGGGAGTGTGCAGGAGGCAGCTGATCGATGTTTCTAACTCTGTATCCCTCTCTCTTCTCTCTGTAAAAAATCAATAAAATATATATTTTAAAAAAATGACCCCTGTAAAGGAACCCATTTTTTAAAATAATTTCTTTTTTAAAAAAATATATTTTTATTGATTTCAGGGAGGAAGGGAGAGGGAGAGAGAGATAGAAACATCAATGATGAGAGAGAATCATGGATCGGCTGCCTCCTGCATGCCCCTACTGGGGATCGAGCCCACAACCCAGGCATGTGCCCTTGACAGGAATCGAACCCAGGACCCTTTAGTCCACAGGACGACGCTCTATCCACTGAGCCAAACTGGCTAGGGTGGGACTTATTTTTTAATCATCCCTTAGGCCTGTTCTTCCTTCATTAGATGAGCATGTCTGTGGTTGAGGCGCCTACCTTTCCAAATAAGAGTTTGGTGGCTGGTTTAGGAGCCTCTGGGATAGTTCTGTGTCTGAGAGACTACCTGGTCATTCCTTGGGTCACAGACCAGACAGTGTGAACTTCCCAGTGTTTGAGAATTTCCTATAGGCTGGGTCAGCCTGGTGAGCTTCCCCTGGTGTGACTTACAGGGTGAGGCTTCATATCTAGCCTCCTAGAGAGTTTTCTGAACAAAGAACCAAATGATTCCTGGCTTGCTTTAAAATGGGAGCATGGTTTATCTGCTGTTTTCAAAGCACCTTTTGGCTTAGCTTTGAAGGTTAGGTGTAATAACTGCCCTATTATAGATATTGGAAACAATGATGGGCACTCGTATGGTTCAGCTTCATCTATCAATGCTCAGTGGACTTGCTGAAGGCAGGAACTAGATCTGATTTCTCTTTTGGGATACTTGGTTGGCACAAAGGGTTACAAGTCCGCTCAGTGTAAGTGTTGACTTGAAGTTACATAGGTTCCTGTATTTTCTCCCCAGATAGAAAAATAAAGTCTATCCTACAGAGCCCAGAGTTCTGAGTAGATGGCATGTTCCAGGCCAAGCATGTCAAACTCACGACCGGCCGCGAGTTTTACAACGCTTGTTCTAGGCCCAGACCATTGAGTGCATGATGATGACAAGTGTGCATTCACAAACTCACCAAGGACTAACCATTGGGCCACCCCGGCCAGAGCTTAGTCAGTTTGCTTTTGAACATGGACTTCAGGACTCTGGAGTGACCACGCGAGATTATTTCATTGCCCTGCTAAAAGCCTGCTAAAATTACAATAAGATATAAGGCCACTGGGTCAAAGAAAATGAAAGATGTAGCAGTAGATCATAATTTCAGTGTGGTTTTGTAAGATAGAAAATGGGTGGTATGCTAGATATAGGCTGGGCATTCAGTAGTACATTCCCTGCCTTTTGGGGTTGGAAGGCTCAGATCCCCTGCCAGTAGGCTTCTGGGTATCATTTGCCCATGAGATCCTTCCCTTGAAATTTGGAAAGTGGAAGAGAGGTAGAAGAATCCTCCTTCCTCTGGCTCTGATGTGGATGTGTGGCTTAGACCGAGGTGAGTGAGTGCAGTGGCTTCCACATCCCTCACTGGCCAGCTGTCTCAGGGCTGCAGGGCAGCTGTGGTCTGGCAGCGCTTTTCTGCAGTTTCCTCACCTGTGGATGGCAACAGCAGCTTCCTGACTCTCTGGATGCAGCTGCAGTGGTGAAATAGACAGTTAGAGGTGGCCCACTTGACACAAACCTCCAGCCTTTTCAGTTGTTTCTAAAGCACGACTTCCCTATATTAAACCCCTTTGTGTTTGAAATAGCTGGCATGGTTTCTGTTCTAACTGACCCATATTTGATATAAGTGGGAACTAACAGAAGATGTGTAAAATTTTTAATGGAGAAAAATTTACAACTTTATTAAGAGTTATTAAAGAAGACTTGAGGCAGGATGTTCTTGGCTAGGAAGACTTAATGTGTTAAAGCTGCCTGTTCTTCTTATATTGATCTGTGGACTCAGTGCATCTCCAAAGGGTTTTTGGGAAATGTGGCAAGTCAGTTCTAAGGTTTGGAAGAATAATGTCCTGATATTGTTAGGGCACTTTGAAGAAGAGTCAGGAGTGAGCACTTCCCTTACCAGTGTCAAGGCTTACTTTACAGTTGGCTCAGGGTCGCATGAATTGGCCAGTAGGACAGAAGAGCTGCCAGAAATATGATATATGGCAGAGGTGGAATTACATGTCACTGGGCAAAGGTTAGATTCTTAAGTATGTAGTGCTGTGACAGTCGGAAAAGAAAGAAATTGGATCCCTAATGTACAACATATAGGAAAATTGGTTTCAAGTTAAAGAAAAACTTCTAGAAGATAATATAGAACACCTAAGATCTTCCCTTTATCAAAAGGTAGCAATAAAGAATGTGAACAGAGCCTTAGGGACTTACAGGATCACCCAACAACAGCAGAATACACATTTTAGGCTCTCTCATGTTAGAAATCCCATTTTGGTAAGTAAGTGTTATTTGACTTACTGAGTAACGTCTGATTTTTTACCATGATTTAAACCTGTTTTGGTGTAAAGTAGGAAAGTGATGTGTGTGCTGAAGAGGCTCCAGTCATTCTTGCCCTCTCCATTCAGAGAAGTTATAAGCTCATCTGGACCTAATATATTTGTTCAAGTTCTAGAAACACAAATTAGAGTCACTCATATTTTGTATTTTATCTATAATAATAAAAGCATAATATGCTAATTAGACCAGATGACCTTCCAGACGACCTTCCGGAGGAAGCTGGGGCTGCAAGGGAAGCCCTGGTCCCAGGTGCCAGAGGGAAAGCCGGTGCTGGCAGCGGGGTGGGGGGGAAAGGGGGTGGAGGAGGAATTACTCTTGCATGAATTTCGTGCATCGGGCCTCTAGTTTACATATAATACTCATTTCTGGCCAAATGCTATTGGGAAGTAAGCTTGCCAGTACCTGCCCTGACTCAGTTTCCATGTTGGACTTGGGCTCTCGAGCAGCTGCCCAGCTTTCACTTGAGACATGTGCTGGGGAAGCAGAAAGCCTGGTGCCCAGTGGATCTGAAAGCCTGGAGAGGAGGCAGCTGCCCAGGGGGTCAGGTGGAGACAGGCTTCAGGTGGCCAGGTTGTGAGACAGGGTGACTCAGGTCTTGTGAACTTGGAGGAGGAGGGCCCACCTCTTCTGTGTTCCACTTCTGCTCTGAAGCAAGTCTCATAACACTTCTGAGCCTGCTTTCCCATCTGTAAAACATTTCCCTTTTCCTTGTTTTTTGTTTTGTTTTTTTCAATAGCAAATCAACCATGTTGGCTTCTCCTTGCTTCACATCTCCTTCTGTGGGCTCCCATTCAGTCTTTGGTAGGCGGAGCTGCTCTGGAGTCCTGGTGAGGACATCTGAGGAGAGAAGAGCATAAGTGGCAGCTTGTGTTGCAGGGAGCACTCTTTCCAGGACTGCAGGACTGGGCTTGGGCCCCGTCACAGTCACAGTCCCGGCCAGTTGCTGGATGGGAGAGGAAGGCTCAGGAGGGCATGTCTTATCACTAAGCGGGGACAGGATCATTTTCTGTTGTGTTCACTGCCCACTACAGTATTCCCCATGCCTCGGACAGTGCCTGGCACACTAAGGTAGAGAAGGGACGGAGGGGTGTCTGCATAGCTGCACATGAATCAGCTCAGCTGTGAGAGCTGCACACCCTCCAGCTGGCCCTAATGGGGAAACACTGGGTCTCAGAAGCAAATTCTTTATTGTCAGAGGGGTCCTGATAGGTTTGTAAGGATGCTGATCCTGTGCTCTGCATCCTCCCCCACCACCCTCACCTCCTTAGCCAAGCCCTTCCCCTTCTTGCTGGCAAAGACCCATGTCTGTGCTGGTAGGTTTCCTTGGCAGCATGTAATGGGCACTGAATAAATGAGTGATGGGATGGATGTGGGCATTTGGGTAGGAAGAGAAATGATAGAAAAGAGAAGGGCTCAAAATTGCCTCCTGAAATTTGGAGAAGCCTGCTCTGCACAAAGTAGCTTCTTCCATCACCACCAGGCTTTCTTTCCTTAACTATTTCACCTGTTGCCCCCTCACCCCCATGCTGCAGATAGCTTCCCTTCTGCACAGTCAGCATCCAGGCCACCCGGTGATGGTCAGCACCTATGTAACCCAGCAGAACGCTGTTACCTTTCTTTCTCTTCCCCCATGTCCTAGATGAGCGATTTTCAACCGGTGTGCTGCAAGAATTTTAAAGCATGGCCGAAACCGGTTTGGCTCAGTGGATAGAGCGTCGGCCTACGGACTGAAAGGTCCCAGGTTCGATTCCGGTCAAGGGCATGTACCTTGGTTGCGGGCACATCCCCAGTGGAAGATGTGCAGGAGGCAGCTGATCGATGTTTCTCTCTCATCGCTGTTTCTAACTCTCTATCTCTCTCCCTTCCTCTCTGTAAAAAATCAATAAAAATTTTTTAAAAAAAGAGTTTTAAAGCATGCAATATTTAGTCAGGGGCACTGACCTCTTTTCCCTTAGATTGTCAAGTTTAAAATGACAGCAATCAATCCAACAAAAGCCATCCAGTGTGAATGAATCAAAATTGTTTTTTTGTGTGTGTGTTTTTTTTGTCAGATGGGCAAAAAATTATATTTTTTGTTATGCCACAGAATTTCAATAATTAGTTTGTGTGTGGCAGGAGATGAAAAGGATTGAAAATCGCTGTCCTGGATCCATCTGTCTGTGAGCATTGTGGCCTCTCATAGACCAGATGCTGCTCTTGGTCTGGGGAAGAGACCAAGACGTCAAGTGGAATCACAGGTCTTGTTCGTTTGAGCAGACAGAAGGGAGATGTGAAATTTAGGTGTGGCTTCTACCACACCCAAGCTTGTCCTGAAGCCTGTCCCAGACATGCCTGCCTTTGCCCAAGCTGTGCCCTTTGCTGGGAAGCCCTTCTGTTCCCTTCCCTCATCTCCCGATCCTAAGTCCACCCTCCCTCAGGAGGCACTGTGGCTCTTCCCCATCCTCTGCCTGCCTGGAGAAGGGAGGAGGAGGACTTTGTAGCGCTGTCCCTGTGCCAGAACTGTCCGTCTCCTCCCAGGAGCAGTGGTGCTCAGGGTGTGTGCATGGGGCAATCCAGTCCTAGAGAGATGGTGCCAGTGGCTCCTAGGACTGGGTGTTGGAAGAGAGCAGCTGCAGCCTCAGGCCACCTTCCACAGGGGCAGCAGCAAATGAGGTGGTTGTGTTGATGATGAGATCACTCCAAGGCCTTGAAGATGCTTTTCCTTTGAGGTCTTTGCTTTATGTTGAGCTTATCTCAGACACTGGTAGCACATTTTATATTTTAGAATGATTGGCAATCAAAGGACACCCGTTCCCCATCATATGCCAGAGAAGGAGCTGGAAATACTCTCCTCAATACCTAGTGGGGGAGAGAGCCAAATCTGGTAGGGCTCATGACTTCTCAGGTCTCAGAAGAAAATAATGAGGCACAAACAGATTTATGTACAAGTCGTTCAGTGCAACCCTTCTTAGAGTATTGGAAGGATGCAAACAACCTAAATTTTGCACCATAGGAGATGGTGATAATTACAGAAATTCATTCACAGAATACCATGCAGCCATTAAAAATGGTCTTGCCCTGACCGGTTTGGCTCAGTGGATAGAGCGTCGGCCTGAGGACTCAAGGGTCCCAGGTTCGATTCCGGTCAAGGGCATGTACCTTGGTTGTGGGCACATCCCCAGTGGAGAGTGTGCAGGAGGCAGCTGATCGATGTTTCTCTCTCATCGATATTTCTAACTCTCTGTCCCTCTCCCTTCCTCTCTGTAAAAAATCAATAAAATATATATATTTTTTAAAATGGTCTTAAGTTTATTTCAGAATATGGGAAGCTGTTTATAGTCTTAAGCTTACAACGCAAATCCTAAAATAGAGTTTTAAGAATTTATGTAAAAAAAAGAGACTGAAGGGTGGGCCCTAACATAGTAATGGGTTAATACGCTTTGTCTTTTCAAACGTATTTTTCAAATATTTTGCATTGAATATTTATTTTATAATGAGAAAAAATAGATTATTTATGAAATAAAAACAGTATCAGAGTCTGTAATAATAGCAGAGCCAGATGGCTGGAGAAGCTTTAGTCAGTGGGGCTAATTGCCAGCCAGTCTGGGAAGGTGGGTTTGTGGGACACCACCTCACCTTCCAACCACTTGCCCTAGACACACCACGTTCCTCCACCCCCCATGCCATGCCCCGCCCCTTGCCAAAGATTACAGCCATTCCCCCTTCATGCTCCCAGGGGAGGTTCCCAGGCAGTTAGGGCAGGAGGGCAGCCTATGCTCTGGAAGAAACCCCAAGGGGCTAGAGCAAGCATGGTTAAACGAGGCATGCGGCTTGCTGGCCATGAGTTTGGCATGCTTGGGCTAGAGCTACTGAGGGATTTGCAGCAAGAATGGCTGACCCTGTGCTTTGCCAGCAATAGCCTGTTAGAAAATACAATGAAGGGAAAACCTCATTTCATGATAGTAGTAAAAAAATGAAGACTGCTAAGGAATAATTTTAGTAAGATGTGCATATAACCATTTGATACCAACAGCAACATTTTATAGAGTTCTTAAGAAAACCTGAATAAATGTAATCTATGCTCACCCACACCTGGTCTCCCAGCCTCAAGTAGTCTGCCCACTCTGCTGTGAGAGCAGTGTTTACAGTCCACTTCTCTTTTTGCTTTCAGAAGTGACTGGGGATTCTCGACCTTACCATGGGAAGGAAGCTGTGGATCCGAGGCAGGGGCGGGCCCGAGGTGGCGACCCCACGCATTTCCACTCAGTGAATGTGGCGCAGCCTGTTCGCTTCAGCAGTAAGTTGCAGACCTGCCCTGTTTGTGATAAAGCCTCATAATCCTGTATGTTCCCTGGCTCTCCTGGTGCCACTTGGCTGTGCGAGGGGTACAATGTGTCTTTTAAAACAGCCCTTCAGGGCAGACTGGCATAATCCTCCTTTGGTAAGAGGCTGCACGGTGACCCAGCCAAGGCCATCCAGGTTGAGAGTGGTGAATCCTTGACACCAACTTGGGCTATGGAACCGGCTGCTTACAAGATGGCTGCCTTTCAGAGCTGGGCTGCAGAAGTCTTCTCACTACACAGACACTCAGGTCCCCGCGGCTTTGAGCTGTGGACTCCAGGGATTGTCACAGGGATGTAGCGCAAGCTTGGTGAGTGAGGAAACTGAGCCTCTGAGAGCTCACAGCCAATGGGGCAGCCCCTGGAATCGTGACTCTCAGCTCCATGCACTGTCCTTTCATCTCTAATCTACTTTCTTTGAATAGGTAATCTACGTAGGGAATAATTCCACAAAGTTCAACAGGTAGAAAACGATGTTCCCTCTCTCTGTTGCCCCCACTCACTGTCTTCTGTCCCCAGAGGGCTTCCTCTGAACCCATTCCAAGATGTGGGTGAGGAGCCAAGATGGAAGCCCAAACTGACACTCGCCAGTCGAGATGCTCGGCCTCTGCACACCTTGGTGTTCCCACCTCTAATCTGGGACAGATGGAAGCCACATATGGGGGTTTTGGCAGGTTAAACACATCGTGGTGGTAGGGAGCTTAGAAAACATACAGTAAAAGGCCACCTGGTAACCCCCCTATCCTCATACCCATTCCATGAACTCCATAGACCTCCCCTTCTCCTGCTTGGTGGTCCCTGAGGGCTGGCGCCTGTCTACAGTGAACGCCTTCCTATGAGCTCTGTGGCAGATGGTGCTGTCCCACTGTCGGCGTTGCAGCAGTGCTGCGGCATGCCTTGTTGGCTCCGGGGCCAGGGGTACCTTTCCTCTCATGTAATCTCTTTTCCATTGTTCATAATAAGGTACACACACACACACACACACACACACACACGTGTCCTAAATAATAAAAACAGCCCACCCAGTGTGGCTCAGTGGTTGAGCATCGACCTATGAGCCAGGGTTCAATGAATCATGAATCATGGTTCAGTTCCTATGAATCATGGTTCAATTCCCGGTCAGGGCACATGCCTGGGTTGTGGGCTCAATCCCCAATGTGGGGCGTGCAGGAGGTGGCCGACCAATCATTCTCTCTCATCATGGATGTGTCTATCTCTCACTCCCTCTCACTTACTCTCTGAAATCAATAAAATATATTTAAAAGCCCTAGCCAGTTTGGCTCAGTGGATAGAGCCTCGGCCTGTTGACTCAAGGTTCCTGGGTTTGATTCCGGTCAAGGGCACATGCCTTGGTTGTGGGCTCAAACCCCAGTCAGGGGCATGCAGGAGGCAGCTGGTCAATGATTCTCTCTCATCATTGATGTTTCTAGCTCTCCCTCCCCCTTTCTCTCTGAAATCAATAAAA